TAAGTGTGTCGCAGGATACCCTCTAGGTGATAGTTCTTGATTACTTTTTGATAAATAATTCGTTCTTATTGCGAAATAGGATCACTATTTATCAATGTGTAATAGAAGACGTGAGGAAATTCTGTCTTTTTTAAAGACAAAATTTTTTGAGGCGAAATACCCAACAAGAAGTTTCGGTACAAAACTGAATAAATTTGGTAAAAACAAAAACAACTCGAAAATATGTAGGAACACGCATTTTGTATACAAATAATCCGCCCTCTATCTATCAGCGCGCTATATAACCTCAATCAATGGGCGACGTTAGGAAAGATGCACAAACTTTTCCGAAAAACACTATTATCATGCATCTTAGCGACAATTTTGCAAGTGGAGTTATGAACTGTTAATCCCTAAAACACAATTTAGCAGCAAATTGCACCGAACAATCTCATTTTCGTGCATAAATACGTGGTTTTGGGAAAACGACCATCCAGGATTTTTGAGCTAAAACTGCTCAATCTAAACTGTTCTTTCGGGTTAAGCAAGAAAAACGAGTCCAACGAGTCCACTGTAGTTTTACTGTGTGGTACTCCCCTCATTTGCAGTGTTGTCATGATGAAAGTTTCATGGTGTTTTCTTAACACTGGGTGATCTTAAACTGGAAAACCGCCCAAATATTCTTTGGCCATCACCGTCGCAACTTAATTAGAGACGAGAGAAAGTCAAGCGGCGCGAATAGAAAGCGTGGCTGACTGAAGACATTCTATGGCATCATGCTGGAATATTGCATTCCTGACTGATAAGCGACACTAATGGGGCTCCAGAAGTAGAATTAGATTGGGTAGAATTGACTTCTTTGCTCTCAGTCCCGTAATCCATCATCCGTAACATCATCGGTAGATGCCACAAAATAAAAAACGAAGAGTAGCATTAAAAGGCAAAATCTTCAACATAAAATATACACCATCTGGCCGGCAAGTAAAAGCATTTTGATGCGATTTGCCATCTGGCAAGCGCAAGCCAAGAGTAGGTACAGTTGATTTCATCTGTAGCAAAAGAAAAAACACTTTCCTAAGTTGTATTTCCCGTAGCTAAATGTTGGATCTTCCAAAGAAATCGACTGCAACAGTCCAACAATGTCGCATCCGAAAGCCCGCTAAAGCGAAGAAACAAAGAGACAATTGAAAGTCCGGACACGAATCGTTTCGCCGTCATTAAAACGCATTAGAGCGCATTTATGGCGAAAAAAGCCTTTAGGATTATGCAAATGTAGAGGAATCGAATCTTTCGCGTTGTTAAATGGCGACAAAGTGAAGATCGGGACCAAACGAGCGCCATCGCGTGCGGCCAATGTTTATTGTGGATTGTTAGCGGAGTCCCGTTAGGTCGCCGTTAGTTGGTCAAAGGTGCGCCAAGAGCCAATCAATGCCATCTAAGAACAATAATGTATTCCGCATTTTTCGTTAAAGCCGCATCGGGCATCTTAATCTCGGCGCCTAGAAACACCATTTTTGCAGCCGCGATAGTCCCCTAAGACGTGACGGTGGTGCTAATGGTGTTCGCCCAGTTGCAACAGCAACTTCACTCCGCCATAGGAGGAGCAGTTTAAGGGCGGGATGGTTTGCGCCAGCGGTTTCTACGCACCATTGGCAGGCATCAGCATCAATAATCCAATGGCACAAGCCGTAAAAGTCCATGGAATCCGCACTGACCCCATTCTAGCTCTTCAATGGTCACTTAGAACGAGCATCAGCCTCTTCGGCCACACCAACTTGGGAAAAGGCACAAGAATTTTCCCCGAGCACAGTCACCTCTAACGGTAATCCGAGATTAATCACTCAACGAATTAATGCACTGATTATACAAGAAAATTAACACAATGTAGTGGAGAAACGAGATGATGATTCTTCACGTGTAGGGTTATTTGGGTCATCTTCAATCCGCGCACCGGATCTCGGATTATTCGGCGACTGGAAGCTTTCCTACATGTTCCGATGGGTTTCACTGGCAAATCCGCACTTTCTATCACACTGGCCCTTCGAAGGGCGACGCGATCAGTTCCCAATTAATTGGCTTGAAAAAACCGGATTGCGCCTCACACGGTATGGCAGTACTCGATGGTTCTGGCCGACTGTACCCATAACGGAACCGCTACGAAGAAGCACGCAGACATGTTCTTGAGCTGCAGGTGGGGTTCCTGCCAGCCATTCGGTTTATATGTATTTTGCGCTTTTCGCTAGACTTTGTCTCCTTCACGTATGTGAATTTTCGCCTAAAATTCACGCAAGTTTCTGCGATGCAAACAACTTGGGAAACGCCCAGGAGAAACTCTTCCATATCCCGATGCGATCATTAAATTATTCGTCCCAATGAGTGATTAATTCAGTTCGCTTATTTGTTATTGCCAAATAAATAACGCAATTCTGGTTTAGGAAGCAGCACTTTCTCCAATATGTGTCATACCTGAGCGGATGTAACAACAGTTGAAGGCTGAACCGCACATCATGGGGGTTTTATTGTGACCAAACCGCTAGCGGTTGATTTCAAGCGCCGAAAAGAGTTATTGCTCAAGAAATACCCGAGTAGAGAGTGAGAGGAAACCGGTCAAGAGAAAACGCTGGAAATTATTTTCAGCGTTTTGCACGGGAATTGCATTCGAAATTTTAGCCGCAGATGTATCAAGATGGAACGTAGCACGCGCCAAGCTATCTTGCATCTTTCACAGCTTCTACAGGTGCAAGGGAGATGAGCGATGCTGGCTGCATTCCAGGTTCCCATTTTAGAAGCAAATTACCCCATTTGTGCAAGGGGGCTGCGTTTGTGTTCTTTAGCAGAAGGAGTGGTGGTCAACCCAGACAACTCAACTATTGATTTTACATATTTTTTCTTCCTTTGGTTAATTCGGGATATTTGGACAGTTTCCAGGACAAAAGCCCTGTTTCTCCAAAATTAGATAAGATTTCAAGTTGTGGCCTCCAGCAGCCTTTACGCGAAGTGTCATTTAAATTCTTAGGTCAATTAATTGTTGAAGAATCTGGCGAAAAACTTATTTAGATCGAATTTCGTAACTGCGGGCCGTTTTTTAACTTTGTGCGTTTTTTGCACAGCAATCTTCAAAGCGCCATTTTTCAAAAACCTGTTCAGATATCAGTTTGCGGCCTGCAGCAGCCTGCAGATGAAGCTTCGCTTTAACCATGTTGATAACATGAGACGAATTCAGATAAAAACTCTTTCGGAATTAAGCCCCCAACGTTGGACATTTTTTTTACCTTTTGCTGTTTTTGCACAAAAAATTTCAAGAAGCCATTTTTTCAAGAACCTGATCCGACATCAACTTGCAGTTTCCAGCAGCCTTTAGAGGAGGTTTTATCTTATTTATTTGGCGAATTTCGGCAGAATCCAGGTAAAACCTGTTTGGAATAAATTCCGAAACTTTGATTTTTTACTTCGCGTGGTTTTGTACTACAAATTTTAATAGGCAATTGCTCAAGAACCAGTTGAGATACAAATTTGCATCGTCAAGCAGCCTTTAAAGGAAGCTCGACTTTGATTATGGCGGAAATTTATGAAAAATCCAGTTGAAATCTACTTCCGAATTAATTCCTAAACTTTGGACGGTTTATGCAATTTATGCGGATCTGCACCACAATCTTCAAAACGCCATTTTTCAAGAACCAGACCAGATATCAACTTGCAGTTTCCAGCGGCATTTAAAGGAAGCTTTGTGTTAAATATGTGTCATACCTGAGCGGATGTAACAACAGTTGAAGGCTGAACCGCACATCATGGGGGTTTTATTGTGACCAAACCGCTAGCGGTTGATTTCAAGCGCC